CGGTAACTCTCCTTTGTGCGAGTTTTGACACAATAGCTTTCCTGTTGAATGAACTGGAAAGCAGAATCATGGGGCTGTGTGTTTGTGTGCTTGTTGTAGCAGGTGCAGGCGCTGTAGCGGTCAGTGCAGCTCAGCAGAGAGGGCAGAGGTGACTCCTCCCAATGCAGGCCTCTTCCTGCTCTCTGGACTCGCAGTATTGCCAATTTCATGCTCACAGCCAGTGTAAGCTCGTGACACACAACACTATTCATTGCTCTCATTATTGTCTGGCTGAGACACTTTAAGAGCAAAAAAGGGGTAAAGGCAGTGAGCAAGACCTACAAGTGGACCGGTGTGAGGAAGGTCAGAGACTGAAGGAATATATTTTTGGGTTAAGATTCTTAGTTTTAGGCTGAATCAAAAAGTCAGGGATAGAGATGCTGATGATGATAACGTTGGATATGTAATCTTAATTTTAACTTCCCTCACAGGAACAAGAGAGGATGATTTATGTTGTTTCAATTCTACATCATTGTTTTGCTCATCTGTAGCTATAGCACTGAATTGTTACACATTTAGTCCAGCAGCACTGTGCAGTTGGCAGACACAAAAATACAAAGTGAGTATGTCAGTCCAACAACATACTCACTCAGCTGAATCTGAATTATTCTGGCCCAGTTTCAACTGCAACTGAACATTAAAAGCTTCACTAAAGTGGTGTTATTGGAGCCAATGTGTAGTATTGCATTACATTTTATGCCTGGTAGTTTTATTGTCTCTTTACGCTGCAGAAACCTTTACTCAAACTGGCTTGTTAAAATCGTTATAACCTTCGTAGCACCATTCCCACTAAACTGAGCACATCAGTTGCTAAGTGTTGTTTTACCATTTGTAAGGCTTCGATGGCACATTTAAATGCCCAATGGTAGATTTTGACTGTTAGTTTTGAGGAAAATTCCAACAGCCACAGCGTCAAAGGAGTTGTGTAAACAGAGTTTATTTACCCGACTACTGGACTGTCACATCTTCCTCTCACTACACCCTCTCCTCTGTTTCTTTCACAGTTTCAGTCTCTCCTATCCTCTCCGTGCCTCCCTCGCCTCTCCTCTCAAGTTTTTATCGGGTGGATTAACTGCATTCCCTGAAGTAATCCCCTTTCTCCCACCTGATTTACTGGCAATACACCGCTTTTAAGTCTCACTCTCCGTGCGCTGATCTCCCAGGGGCTGATGGCCTCTCATAAAAGAGGAAGCAAATTGTAAGATGGGCTCACTGTGTTTTCCTCTTTCAGAGATGTGTTGTGCTCCAGGCTAGTTCAGCGGCTGGCCCATTTGGCCCACCTTTGAATCTGAACATACACGGTTCTGGTGGCAACAATGGAGGATATGAGCTTAAAGGGTAACAACAGCTTCACTTATCTAAGTGGTGTAATTACAGTGGTGAAAAAACGATAAATTGTGCGGTGTAAGGCTTGGATCTAGAATCTATTGTGCATTTCTGCACTGTGATTGACCTATCCAAGCAACACTGCATCTTGCCCTATGACAGCTCTGATAGGCTCCATTATGTGAGTCATAGGGTTAAGAATGTAAAGAAGGTGAAGGGATATCTATTTTCCTGATGTATATTATTATATATCATCTTGTTGTCTTGATCCTTTGACATTTAAGGTAATGCTCTCAATGGGGGAAAACTGTTCACTCCACATAAAACCTTCAGAACTTATTCAGTTTCCATATAAACATTCATGTGAATATATAAATATTAATGCTGCTGCAGCGATAGATCCTCATTTGGTTAATGCATTGGATTCATTACATCTCAGTTGTGACAAGTGCTCCTACAAAATAGCATTTTGACTTTTCCACTTAGACAATTAGACCTAACACTGTGTGTGAATACTGTATTTCTATGCTGTGAAATGCATGGTCTGTGGCCATGTTGTGGTAATGACTCCATAAGTGTGTTTATTGTTATTGTCACATATGCTAACAGTGAATGGCTCCATTAGAAAACTGAAAAGATTATTTGTTTAATGGGGTTTTCTATTGTTTATCTCAATGAGGCGGTCACAAGTTTTTAACAGGATCATTGGGCTCTTTACTCATTTAAATCAATAATAATTAAAGAAACTAAACAAATAAAATCCCCTGTGATTCCAGTTTTCTCCCATGATCAAGAGTTTTCCTGCTCATGAGTGATTGTTCATTTCCTCATTGGTTCTAATGGTGTGTTTTCACTAGTTTGTTTATTATCATAGCCAGTTGTTTTTTGATTGGTAATAATATCAGAGTGTCTTGTTCCATCTCATCAAAGCACATTTACTGTTGAGGCGGTAAAGATAAGTGTTCACCAGGAGGAAACTGCTTAGAGCTATTATTTTGAATCTCGTATGAAACATGACAAGTACAGAAAGATGGTGGGGAAGTACAATAATAAAGCAGTTAGATTGTTAAAGCAGGAAAAAAAAAAAAAAATCTCAATTCGTGCCCTTTGACGATAGACTGGGATAGTTTGGAGCTTTCTTACATCATTTAGAAAATGACGATTAACAGACCTTGAACATTTTTCAATCAAATTTCATAAAATAACAAGTCACAAATGGATGGAGTCGCCATAAGATCATGAAATTGCTTTTGTCTCTCTAAGCTTCACTCAAGCTCAAGCCAACATTATGTAAAGTGCATCTCTCCAGCTGCCTTACATATGTTGAGTCTCCAAAGAAGAGGGTTTGAATATATTATTGCATGATATTATTCACTCTGCCACATACAATAAAGTATATTGAACCCAGTGGAAATTTAGGGGGGGGGGGCTGCGGATCATGCACCAACTGTGCGTTGTGTGTTTAATGGTTTTATTAAATGGCTCAGGAATAATGAAAAAGATCTACGCAAAGAAAAGTAGACACAGACCGTCACAGACCATCTGTGCAATGGCAGAATGCAAACGATAAGGCAACACCCCTGTTAATAAATGTCAGATGTATGAATCCGTCGCAGCCCAACAGGTGTCTTTCTAATGTTCAGCTGCAGCGTCATGGGAGTGAGCGCTTCAGATCGGGTTAGGTCTGCCTTCATTGGGTCCAGCTTGCATTGACGCAGTGTGTCTTTCAAAATATCTTGAGTGTGAAATCCACTCTTCTTGTTATGCTTTTTAGAAATATGATTTTATTTTGAAATAGCCCTATAGCAGGGTATTACTGAATATCAGGGCTGCATTTGATTACTTAATCAGAAGCTGGATTAATCCAATAAAAAACACAACCAGGCAGATAAACAAGGGAAAATGGTCTGTTTTATGCATATCACATTACTAATTATAATAAAAGTGTGTGTCTCAGGTTCAGCTTTACAACATTTTTATTGTCTTCTGGGAGAGGTTTTTACTGCCTAATTTGATCAATGAATTTTATACCGTCTTGTAGTTGTGCTTGAAGATCCCCCACGGATTTTGAGTTGAATCACATAACATTTCTTATCTAGCTCTCTTTCTCTCTCTTATTTCACTCTATTTAATTATTTATTTATGTACTTTTCTGCTCTGCTGCAGATTAAAGACGTTGCTTCTTCCAGTCACAGTACCTCTGTGGCCAATGTGTGAACACTGTGACTGTATATCTCTAAAGCAAAAGCATTCAATGGAGAAAAAGATATATTTTGAGATGCAGAGCGACTATAGACATTGTAGATACAATCTCACAGAGACGAAGCACCATGACAGACTTATTTTAATCATGTTTTGCTGTGTTAAGCTTTCTAAATCTCCAGCCTGGGTACATATTCATGCGGTTAAGATATACCTATGAGTCACAGATGACTCACAATATGTCTTAGGGGATCTGAAGCATTTTTTTTTTTTTATCCAGTGGGATGGTTTGGAAATCATTAGAACATTTTTTTTTTTTTAAATGTAAGTTTGCCCCCTTTCCTCCCTCCTCCTATGAACTATCCCTGTAATGGCTTTGTGTAACTTCAAATGGTGCTTATTGAAGAAAAGAGTGGGCTTGATTTGTGGAATTGTTTGTCTATCAACTTTTGTAATCGTTAAAATAAATCAGAGAACGTCTATTTTAGAAAGCGTTTGCAGTGACAAGCAGAAGTAGATGTTCAGTGGGTGATCAGTCTGTGATGATTTTGAAAAATGTTAGAGTTTCTGCTCTTCAATCTTTCTGTAGCTTTTTCCAGTTGAAAACGTATCTCTAACACTATTGATATGGACCAATTCATCTGGAGGTTATTCAAAAAGAAAATCGCCCCCCGGAACCTGGAGTATCATAGAACTGGACCTGACAAGAGAAGGGCTGTATATACTGTACATAAGTTGTAGTATAACAGTATGATATTAGCTTCTAAATCAACAATTTTATATTTCACTTGAATTATTAACAGTCAATATTAATAAAAAGTGTTAGTTCTTCTAAGCCAGGCAGTTTTAAAGGCAAAATGAGAAGGCTTTGTGTGAAAGTCATCCTTCTTTCATTGTAACAACAAATTAAGTTTAAAAGATTTGACTTTTCTCTTGTTTCTATCTTTCATTTTTAGTTTTGTGTATGTGATGCTTGGCACGTTGTTATACAGTATGGTAGGACAAATGCTGATTGTAATGAAGTATGATTAATGTTGTTTTTTTACTCCACTGTTCTTTCATGGCTTTATTGAACCTGAGAAGCCTGACTTACACAGTTCAATCTGTACAGGCCTCACATTTTATGCTACATTTAAAAGTATAATTATATATATTACAAAAAGTACACAGGTTAATTGTTGTTAACATTTCACAACTTGCTGCTTGTGTTCTTACAGGTCTCCAGAGGGTCTGTTTGATTTATTAGTCTCAGTAGGCCGTGTCTTTGTGAGAATGTCTATGAGCAGACAGAATCAAGAAACACACAGAGAGAATTCAATATACGCACCCTACCAATGCATTCTAATGAGGATGAGGTCTTTCTAATTGCTCCGTGTCTGCTTCAAATAAATGAATGCCCCTTTTTTTTTTTCTGTGTGTCTTGCATCTTCCAGATATTAATGAATGCGAAAGGGACCCATGCAAGAACGGGGGCATCTGCACAGATCTGGTTGCCAACTATTCCTGCGACTGCCCAGGAGAGTACATGGGGAGGAACTGTCAATACAGTAAGGGCTCATTTATCTGTATTAGAACTATTCATTGTTTGGTCTTTTAACTGTTTCAAACTGTGAACGTATTCCACCATCATAGCTAATGATGCTGCAGGGAATTGAAATGGAATAATTGACTAAACTGAATAAACTGAATTTTTAGGATGTCTGTTAAAATGATTTTAATAATCATATATCAAAGTTTTCTTTTTTTTTTTTGTTAACGACCACCCCACATTTAATCTGTGTGTTCTAACAACTGTGTTTCTTATTTTTGAAAGCTTGAAGTTTATTTTTGAAAAGTGTTAATTCTTTTTTTTTTAATTATTATTATTGTGTTATTTAAAGATTTATTTTGGGGCTTTTGGTGCCCTCATTGAAGAAATAGGACAGTGGATGGAGTGGGAAATCAGGGAGAGAGAGAGAGAGAGAGAGAGAGAGAGAGAGAGTGGGGAATGACATGCGGGAAAGGAGCTGCAGGCTGGATTTGAACTTGGGCCGCTTGCTTGGAGGACCACCGCATCTGTACACACGGCACACGCACCTACCACTAGCCCACTGGCGCCCTGTAAAGTGTTGATTCTTGTGCATATTTTGTGTCAAACGACTTTTTGAACCCCTGCAGTTGTCCTCCTCCTTCCCATATGTATGAAGTATGTCCTGATGCAGCACAGACTGGGAAAAGAAACACATACACTGCAAAAACCTCACTGTTTGTTATCAGTATGGCTAACCGAGCACAATAATTTCTTTTTCTTAAGTTTGAATATCCACAGACTTCATATTCCACACAATGCTTACAATATCTTTATCACTAAATCTCATATCCTGAAGTCAGTCTGTTAAGATAGGCTGTAATACACTTAATGTATCATATTAAAGCTGACTCTTAAACCGACAATGTTCATATTAAATCTGAGCAAGATATGCAAAATGATGTGCAGGACATTTATTTAAACTTCACATATTTGATTTCTCATATTTTTGATTGAATGGCAGGACACATAAGCTTGTGTTCTGCATGTTAAGACAAACATATTACACCCTAAAGAACAAAAACATTAAGAAGAGAAAAAGAAGTCTATTCTGACGGGTCATGCAGACTTTTATTGATTTGTTTGTTTTTTACTGAGTGGCTGTACAGAAAGAAAAAGGGGCTTCATATTATCCAGAATGAATTATTTCTGCAAGACGATGGAGATCTCAAAGGCACACACAAAGGTGTGTCGTGATGCCATCGTGGAGATTTTCATCGGCTCAATCTGGGAATTTATCAGGATTAATGTATCAGTTTATTTAGAACCCCACACAAACCTCTGCACTGCTATTTACAAACGACTTCATTGAATCTTACCTGTCAGTTCAGCACAGTCGTTCTGCAGGAGTGTTGAACAATTCTCCTTGGAGATTGAGAGTTTCTTTAGCCGTTTTTTGTAAACTTAGAAACAGAAGGCGGAGCTGAGTGAAGAGGCACAGCTGCACTGATTTGATGAGTGTAGTGATTGGACAGCTTGAGGAGAAAGATTGAATCTTGCTCCTTGAACATAAGCTAAGCTCCATTATTTGTTTAATGATGCTAATTGTTATTTCCCCCTAACACTGCAATATTTGTAAACCGTAGTTTACAACCATTTATTCAGCTTCATTTATTCACAATGCTTCAGCACAGTTCAGAAGTGTTAGGATGTTTTGTGTGTCTTTTGTTCTTGCTGTATGAAACACTACATTTGAAATGTATGAAATACCATGTGAGAAAGTGCTGACTCAGCTTGAATTTGTTGGTGATTACATCCACATAAGTTGAACTGTGTAGAAATGCTATCCCTTTTGTACAAATCGCCCCGAAGGTGAAAAGGGGAATAAGTCCATCATTTTCCACTAAGTTACTGCAGGGGGGCTCCGGAGGCTCATCGGCAGCAGCCGCCATGTTGGGAATCCTGTCTCGGCCTAACTTTCAGTCAACCTCACGACAGGCTGAGAGCTGGAGCTGAGTCGGGTTTTAAGCCTCTTGACAAACCCGCCTGTCAATCATGTCAGCTACGCGCCTAACTATGGATAACATGTCATGTGTCGTTCATTGGCCTCAAAAAAGATGTTTTGGTTAGTCTGTGATTAGTATGAAAACAAATGTGCATGTATTGTTTTTTCTTAGTTTTTAATCTTGATATGCTCAATGTGTATGTTATATTAACTGCTGTCTTTATATGCACACTGCCTTTTTAATTAAATGCATAACTGTAACAGAGTATACTACACACTCATGCACCCACACACAGTACAAACAGGTGTATTTACTCCAGTCTCATTTGTCACAGGTGGAAACACTGTTGTATACGGCCGATGTTTGTGTCGTGCTTTTATTATTCTTTCCCTCATCCGCTCTCTCCACTGCATGCTCATTAGTATTGGTGTGCTGGCATTAATTTCAGTGGGGCTCTAATTTGTTTAGGCTGTAGGTAGGGCTTGTGGGAGATGGATTCAGCTGTCACATCACGGTTGTGGTGGTGTTAGTGATGTATGCTGTCACGGTGCTGATGTATGCTCAGAGGCCAGCAGGCCAAGGCCCGGGGGCCGGCTGGCTCTACTGCTCTGACGGACGGCTGGCAGGCAGCTCGTTAAGAGTGGCCCGTCATCGCCGTGAGGTGAGAGGGACCGCGACTCTGCAACAGTGTCTTGCCACAACAACCACATAAAATACACGAGAGAGCTGCCTAAGATGTAACACATCTACACAAATGTGTTACTGCATTGACGCAACATTACAATTACATTGCACATGACTTTCAAGTGTTAAATCAGGTAATATGCCTTGTGACGCTTGTACCTGGATAGAGCTGGGTCCCTAACATATTCAAAGACAAAATACTATTTTTTCTTTGATTATTAAGCTTTATAATTAAATATATCATCTACAACTGTCAAATAACACCGTTCAGACTGATGATTATGGGAGAATTCTTCTCACAAGATTTTTCTTGTGAGGTCATTATCATAATGTTTAAATCATGTGCTGCCCTCTATGGGTCGGATGAAACATGCTTTCCTACAATTTTTGAGCTGTCCCTTGTGTTTAGTGCTACATATCAAATGTATGAGCATGCTATTGCTGTTGACCGTGAAAGCTAATTGCACATAATATATATACCGGTATATATAAACACACATATAGATATAATTCATTTCTTACATGTCAAGCCTGTTAGCATGCTGACATAAATATTTAGCCTTAAACACAACATTGCCCTTGGTAAAGCCTTAAAGAGAAAATAGCACAGTGTTTTTCCTTCTTCTTCTGGTTTTTTACGTTTAAAAAACCCTCATACATAAAAATGCCTCATGCAATTCCAGTGGAGCTTTGTTCGGCTTTCTGTAACACATAAAATATGTGCCTATCACATACAATTCAGGTGACAATGATTGCTGAGCCTGCAGAAATACTGTAACCTTTGTACTTTTATATGAACATCATACCATACTTTAATTGGAGGAATGGAATCTAATCATTTGTCTCCTTTGTCTGAAGTGTTTCTGGCCACTTTTGCAGAGTCCTTTCTTAAGTTTCTACTTGAGCTATTGAAGCATGAATCCCTTTGGCAATCGCGAACTTGCACATTGATTTACTTCATTCATATAGAAATAAAACCACTTAAATATATCCACTGACTTCTAATTACAGCAATAGAGAATTCTTACATGCACTACGACATGGATTTCCCTATATTCTAAACAATATTCAGATTTTTGGAAAAGAAAGGCAACACTGAAGTGAAAACGAAAGGTCAGCAAATATTGAACCATGGCTGTCACCTGACATTGGTAGGCTTTCTCAGACTTTTTTAATGCACCAAATAAGGTTCATCCATTTCTCCCCCTCAATATAAAAAGCTTTCCTTTGCTTCCTAGAGAAGCAGCAGTTACTCTGCATGGTGGAATATATAGAGAGTTCAGGTACACACAAACAAACAAACACACACACACAAACACAGAGATATACTCTTCGCTCTCTTCCAGCCTCTAGCCGTTCCCCCTGGACTGTCCTCAGACATTACTCACTGTCTCTCTCCGGCATCCTGTTGCCTAGGACCCCACTGTTAGCAGCTGGAGAGGTTGTGCTGGGGTTGTTTTCATTGTTTCATTATTCTCTGACTCTTGGCTTTTTTTTATGATGCGTATGTGTTCTCCCAGCTCTTAAGCTCTGCCACTTTTGTTGTCTGCTGGTATTGTGCGTCCGTGCATGCTTGTGTGTGTTCTAAATTCTGATGTGTTTTACTTAGATGGTGAAGATGGCATTATAGCCTTCAGGTGACCATTGCTCCAGGCGCTCCCTAGAGACTGCTTCACACAGACACTTACAGCTCACCCAGCATGAGCAAGCACTGCCTCTAGCTGAACTCTGCACTTATGATACATCCTCATTCTTTGGGGACATCTCCAAGTTCTGTCAGCTTTTCCAACCCTTGGGTTATGACGCTCTTAAACACAGTTGTGTGATAATCAGCCAGAGACGAAGCCATGCTGTTGAATGAATAATGCATGTTTGATTGAGATCCTCCAGTTTTACAAAAGCAATAATAATAAATCTTGTGTGCCCTCTGTGTTCTTACTGTAATCATTGTAATCTCTTCTGTCATTAGAAATAAACAACAAGAACAGATTGGAAGAAACCCTCATAAGCTGGTTGCACCTGTGTCAGTGAAATGAAATACAGAATCCCTCATAATCTCAAAAACTCTGTGTTAGATTTTGAAAATAAAGGTGAGGCAAAAAGTAAAAATGCTCACTTACAGTATATTACTCTACTCTACTATACATTTTCAACCTCATGATATCTAGAGAACTCTTAGCAATGTTCTTGAGAATATTGAACAAGTATTTGCTTTTCTTCTCTGATACATGTTCATCTATATTTTTGGGGGGGAGTCAAACTGTTATTGGTACTGAAAGTTGATTGTGTTCAATTAGTACAAAAAAATGCAGAGCTACAAATCCCCTGTACTTATCATACGCTTAATTTAACGACTAATTAAAACTTAAACATCTGGCACAGCAGCTCAGCACATCTTCATTGAGCTGTGTTTAAGAGACACTGTGTGCTCGAGGGAAGATGATCCTTCTTGGGATTCTGCGTTGTTCAGAATTCAAGCCGACTGTGTGTGTGTCACCTCACAGCTGTGGGAAACCAATTTCTAAACTATTTTAAGTGAATAAGTTGCCGCTTACAACTTGTGCTCGTTATGGTGTCCAGTGGAGAAACAATCTAATTTACTGTCCCCGTTACAAACTCTGTAACTCAATTTAGTCAGCCTGCAGGATTCTGAAGACATGCACTCACTTCTGATTCACTTGAGATGGCAATATTGCACAGCTGTTTACCCCAACTCAATTCATTATTTGTGTTTTCTTGGCATACTTGACTCCTCAATATATAATGGATTTCCACAGGCAGAGTGATGTTACCATAAAAACATACGATGCAGTTTGCATATTCCAGCCGAATTCAGTCCTTCCTGGATCACAAAATTTGATGATTTCTCAAAAATAGTAGAATATGTGAATATACTTTTTTTTTTTTTTTTTTTTTAAATCTCTCATACAAATGCTATGTATGAAAAAGTACTATGTGGTACGTTTTATTCTGTATTTATTTAGCTCACCATATGAACATATGCTCCTTTTCCATCTGTTCGTTTAGTGGGTTCCATTTTTCATGTATTCTTATTTATATTATTTGTTTTCCCAGCAGGCTTTTCATTAAAAATGGAAAGACAAAGAAGTACTTGTTTTGCAACACAAAAATGATTTACTGTAGAAACATTGCCAGAATCCCTTTCGCCACAGGTATGACTATTAAAATGCTCCTGATGTGCCTGGACGTACCAATAAGGATTATGAGGGGAAAACAAGCAGCTTAAAGAATAAAGGAGAGAGTGCCTTTGTCTGAAGATTTCGCTGTCAGGCTTCCCCGCTTTAATCCTGCAGCCTTTTCTGTAGAATGTTAAAAGTTGTTCCAAAGCTCGTTGACACTGGGTATGATACTGTCCAGAAGACTTTGCAGCTCCTATGGAGGAAGGTCCAGTAAGGAGGAGATGAAGGAGCCACTGGTTAGTGCTAAGCATGTAGACAGTGTCACGACAGAGAGGAGACATCCTCTGACTGCTGTGGCTGAAATGGTGTTCTGCTATAATTGCAAACATTTGGGATTTTGTTGTGATAATTAAAGTAACATCCAAAGTCTTCAAAGGGTCTGATATTGTACCAGTCTGAGGTTTTGGTCCCTGAGAATGACACAAACAAAGATGTCAGCTTAGATGTGGAGACATTTTGGAGTAAAATGGATCAAGATGTGGAGGAAAAAAATCCCTATCATTACAAAATACTTCTTTGTGGTGATTTTTTTATATTCTGAGAACAAAGTTTTATGCTTTTTGAGTGCTGGAATGACAAAAGGTCTCATTCGTCTCTTTCTCCCTCTCTTCCCTCAGGATGCTCCGGACCACTGGGCATGGAGGGCGGCATAATCTCCAACCAACAGATAACTGCCTCCTCCACCCACCGTGCTCTCTTTGGCTTGCAGAAGTGGTACCCGTACTTTGCACGCCTCAACAGGAAGGGCCTGGTCAACGCTTGGACTGCTGCCGAAAATGACAGATGGCCGTGGATCCAGGTAAAGCTTGGTTACAGGACAGGAGACATGCAGGGCTGCTCCAGGGCCAGACACACATGAATTAAGACACAGACATGCTCTTCACTCTAGTCACACTTTTAATTGTTGCCTTGATTTATGTTGCAATTTCCTTATAGCCTCAAATCTCTTGGTGGTAGTCGATGCTAACTATAAATTGTTAAATGCCAGAATGCAGCAACTTCAACTTTAGTTTTAATTACAGATACTCTAAAATTGATGGCTCACTTACTGGTAATAAAGAACAATAAAAAGTTTGAGCTAGGGGCAAAACAGATGCAGTTGTAGTCAACTGTGAGGAACAGTGTGATGGTGCAAAACTGTTTTCAGCTTGTGGCTTGTTGCTAACAGTTACTCAACTGTGCCATCAATTGTTCTGATGTGGAGATGTGAGGAGCTCAATGATGTAACTGGCATAGCACTTTCTCTATTGCTTGTCATAAATTGAGTTTGGGAATTGGGGGTCTTAGGTGAGGAAAGTAAAGTGCACAGTAAAAGTCATAATTTGATGCACTGATGATTTGTTATGTCTTGTGCAATTTCTGATCTGCAAATCACTGTGCTGTCAAGAGAGAGATTTGGTGCATAATTTTATACTCAACAGTGCTATTAAGTGTCATTTTCCTGGTATTCCTAAAAAGAGATTGAATGCTGCTTAGAAATTCAGTGCCTTCTCTTGTCATTTTACAGTAACAGGGTTTCTAAAACCACCAGAGAGCCTTTGTTTTATCCCAAAACATTCTAATGAAACCTGAAGGAAAAATAGGTTTACAACAACAAAACACTGATAAACCCAAGTTTCTTCTTCTTCTTCTTACTTTGATGCTTTGTTCAAGTCAGCCTTCATGCTTTGCAATTAGGGAGCGCTTATTGTCAAAGAGCCACATAGACAGATCAATAACATGGATTGTCTGTTGGTACCTGACAGTCACATCCGAAACTTCTGTCCTCCCAGATCCTGCTCTGCCAAGAAACACTATTCACTCTCTGTGCCTGTTTTCATGCAGAAATCATTTCTAAACAAATTTTGCAGAATAGTAACCTGACAAAATGACATGTTGTTGGTCTCAATGTGCTACACAACTTTTTAAGCTGCTGCAGATTTCTGACCTGGAATAATTCAGCTCCAGTGTATGAATAGAAGATCTATGAAAAACCGTTTGTTTGTCTGATACATCGTGACCCAGGTCTACAGTAAAACAACTGTCACAAGATGTGTAGCTAGGATGTTCAACCCTCCAAACAATGCTCTGAAGGCTTGGTACAGCCCTGATGACACGATCATCCAGGTGCAAAACTATGCTATGCCATATGATCCAGTACAATATGATGTAGTCAATAGGATATGGCGCACAAAATTACATGTTTTGATACGATGCAATCTGATTGGATAGGTTGACAGGATAGGATAGGATACAGTGCCATGCTGTGTCGTGTTTTGCTGTGAGAAAAACGTGTCTCCTACTTTAATGTTGCACACATTTAGCTGTCTCAAGAGTAGAACTAAATCAAAAGACCTTCAAACAATCAACTTTTTTTAAAAGAGCAGTGAAGCAGCAGGTAACAATACCAATCACAATTGCAAGTACTTCTCATTACCCATATTGCACATCTTCCCTACAATACAAATAAATGATACGTAATGCCCACTCTTATATGTTGTTCAAAGATATACAGAAAGGAGAAAGAGTAAAATGATTTGTTACCCAGCTACTTAATTAGTTGCTATTATGAATATAATGTTTTTTTCCAGCTTCATTACATTTCTCTTCGCCTTCGGCCACTTTTATGGTGACAGAGATTCTGACAGTTACTTTTGAAGTGAGCTTTTATCGGATACACAACACACATCCAGTGGACTGTGAACAACACACAATAGAACAAAATACCACAGTGTGACAGCATGATGGAGAAAGTGAAGCTGTAACTCACAACAAGAGAATAGTGAGACAGGGCAGAAATGGATTTGTTAAAGAAATAAAAAAATAAAGAGAACACAGAAACAAAGAGACAGAGTCAGAGAATCAGCCAACATGAGTGAGAGAAAAGAAGCCTGAAACAGAGAGGCTGAGGAGAGAGCGGGACATAAAACATTCAGGCGGTTTGTTTGACTTTAATGATGCCACGCGGGATCTTTGAGCGGGATGCTGTAGGCATTGTGTGTTTCTTACAGAGGGCCGGGATAATTGGGACGTGAGTACGGAGGTGTACAGTCATGTCAGTGTTTTGGGATTATGCTAAGGAGTCGCTGGTGTTCTTTTGTAGTGCTGAGTGAGGTGACTGTCGGTATGTCTGTCATTATGAATCAGGCGATACCGACACATGACAACCCTATCAGGGTAGGGATCAGACGTTTCTGACTATTTGTAAGGTTTTCCTTAGAGCTGCATGTATCTTTGGATGTCAGCCAGAGTCAACTCTCTCCCCCATAAACCTCGACAAACGAATCAAAACACAACACACTTTTAATACAACATCATATAAATGAAGACAAAGGATTCATTCTCCACATATGAGTTTGTTTGGGTTCCACTTTTTGTGTGCATGTGTGAGCTTGCTATTGTTCACATTTCAGTGTACGGTGAAAATATCAGTTTTCCACAGCCTCACCGCGGCTAGCTCACACATAAAATTGCATTTGAACACTCAGGGGAAATATGCTGCTGGTCTGACCAGTATCAGCAAAGACTGGCTGCAGCTGTACGTGTTGGACCAATGAAACAATCTAAATCACTTGTGAAGGCTAAGAGGGTCCATACATAATTCAAAACACACTGAAGAGTTAATGACAATCAGTGTTCACATTAGCTTTCATGAGATGATAAAAAACCTGTATAGGCTCTCACTCTGTCAGGGGAGCTTTTCCCTTTTCATTCCTTTGTTGCTTTTCTTATTAAAGCATTTGACTTTACTGTCGATGATGATGTAGTGGAGATGTTGACAAATGGATTTCCATCCCAGTGTGTTTTTAAAATCACAGCTTGACTGAATTAACCTTTTGTTCACATACACTTCAGATTACTGTGTCTTACATTTTCTTACCCCATTCTTCTTAATTTGACAGAAATTTAAATTCTTACATAAGAATGAGTCAGGCTCCTTAAGCCCAAACTAAACAGATTCTTGAGCAATTTGAGGTCAAATGGTTGTGATTACCTACTAAAATATATGTGCTTCATGTCAGTCATGCTTTCTTTTTCTTTTCCGACATACAATATATGAGTGATGCGTTTATATCCAGGCTTTTCCTTCAAATTATTTCAAGTACTTTCAACATTTGCTATGCCCCCAGAATCAAACACAAAGAGCACATGGTTGCATATTAATAACTACAGAGAGGTTGTTACACAGACAGTCTATTTTTATTCCCTGATCTTATTAGTGGCCAGTCTTGAAGTGAGCTCATAGTGTCTCAAGTTGCTTTTTGTGTCTGCGGTTAGTTCGGTGATTCCCAAAGTGGGACACGTGGCCTTTAGGGGGCCAGGAAAGCATGACAAATTTTGTGAGTGGAATTTCAGTTGAATATCTGGAATATTCTACCTCTTAGTTTAATGTTCCCCCACTTTAGGCATTTTTAAGAACAGACTGAAGACACACTTTGTTCCATGCATTTTCAGTGTCCATAAGATCAACCACAATTCCCCACCTCAGCTTCCTAGAGGTCGAATGGGTATGTTTATCCTCTCCTGGCTTGACAATATTGTCATCTGCCAAAGGGCGGCCCAGCAGAGAAGGTTTGGGATCCACTGGGTTAGTTGTAGTATAAGACTTAAAGGTTCAAATATCAAAAAAAGATTTAATAACATTACACATGAAACAAAATTTAAAAGAAAGGGGAAAAAACTGGAGAATGTACCTATGGTTGCATGTGTATTATTAAATAAACAGGATGAAATATAAAGCTGCTTTAATGTGGCTCTCTGTGTGTTCATGCTTACATTAATTTTTTCTCTTAGCCAGTTTCAAGGACACAGGTCAGCCCAAATGTACCAATACACCCTCAATTCCCAGTTTACTTAAAATTTGCATCAAAACAGCTGTTTTTTTAAAATTTATTATTATTTTACTTGATATGCCCCTAACTTGGGTGTATATGTCAGGTCTTGGTGATCCACGTATTATAAAAACTGGAAGCAATCCACTGTGTTGTCTGATCCATGTTCACCCAAAAGCTGTAGCGTTGTGTTTTTGAATATTGTTAAATAAAGCTTTGTTAAATGAGCTCTATAGGGTGAATTGGAATTAAAAAAGTAATTGATGTTCTTCATTGTGACGCATTTCCTTACAGCAGCCTTTTAAAAGCATTATTTCAAGATTAATAGTACAATTGGTACTCTTCTTAATTAACCAGCCTGTCATTCATCAGACAAAATGTCAGAAAATAGTTATGCTGTAGAATTAAAGATTAAAACAGCTAAGCACTCATAACAGGGACAAAATGACAACTGGCAATTTAGCTGGAAATACAAATTAAGTCATTTTTGAGATGAGGCAGAAATTCAGCATCTGTCATTGATTTATTTGAATTGAGGTCTAAATCTTAATAAAAACATACATGCAATAAGCAAGGTAAAAAGTATGATTTTTATTCTATCAGTATATCCATATCTGTGATCCAAACAGGCCTATATGGAAAATCAATGATATGATTTTCAGGAGGACAGCGATCTAAATGTGTTCATCATTTCTTAGAAAATAACAAAGAGTAAAAGCTCTTAACATATCAAGGGGGCTCGTTATGGTGTTTTCTGAAAGAAAAGGCTTAATTTCAGATACAGGACAAAATCAGTTCCAGGAAGTTTTGGATGCTAACACGCTGAACTATTTCTCAAAGTAGTGAATACTGTTCAGAGAGAAAACTGGTTATATCACACCATGCACACAAGTGCTATTGTCTTTGAGTTGAAAAAAAAAAAGAAGTCGCAGAATGAAAGGTATTTGATGTAAAAGGTTTTTCTTCTACATCTTCTTCTCTCGTGCATTTTACCCAGAATACTTCAAACTGTGTGTTCCAGGAAAAAAAAGAGGAGAGGGTGAAATGGTGAGAGGGTAACAGTTCAACCTAAACTTTGTCTTCAAGGTTGTTGTTTTTTTTTCTAGCTCACTTTTGCAAAGTCTCTCAACTAAACTCTAAGAGCACATGCTTGATGCTAAGGGCATGCAACTCTTTTTTTAATGTTTTATCTTGATTGTTTTCAGTTTATGAAACTTAAGGTTTATATGTTTTGTTATGAAGATGCAACATACACAATGTAGTGTTAGACCGGCCATGCAGATTTTGGTAATTGTCTGAATCCAGGTAAATCAGTGGATTTGACTTAAACATCATGAAGCTGTTTATTTTAACAAAACAACAATAGCAATAGTTACAAAAGTTGTAAGAGGACAAATTGAAAGTATTTGCAATAGTAAACATGTTATAGGCTTACTCTGCTGCTTGAAGCATTTGCCTCTCACAGTGTTGCATCTTTTTGAAACTCCTGAGACAAACGCTGCTCATTCAAACACATAAATTCATCATTATAAGTACTCAGGTGAAAGACATACGTTCTGAGTGCTCATTAAAAATTTGAAGGATCGCCCCAATTACCCCCCACAGTGGCCTTTTAGTGACAGAGCCTCTAATTAGTGTGAGAAGTATCTCTCTTTATGAAGAAAAAACTGAGCAGAGAAGCTGTGAAGGAGAAGGAGTGGGTCATTACTGCTGTGAGGCTGTAAGAGGCTTGATAAGTTGATTTAAGTATGTTTGAAATAAGTGTAAATGAGTCTTGCTTCTACAAATGGAAATTATAAAAGGTAATCCTCCCTGCTTTAGGTTGCATTACTCCATTAGTTCTTGTCACTTCGCACAAGGTTAGTGTACATAAACAGAGTTTTCTTTTCTCTGTCTGGAGCTGTAATAGTCAATTGAATAATCTCTAATGTCCTCAGGAGACACAGCTTAGAGATTTTCATTAACAGGAAAGGAGAGCGTAACTTTGTGGGCTCAGAATTCCTGTTTGAGCTTCTCCTCTAAAATATATTACTTGTAAATTGCCTTATTTCATAGTAATGCTAACATTTCTGCAGCGGAAAATGAGCCAAGCAACCTGATATACGCTCCTGCATGTGCTCACGTAGTCAGTGAAGTTAAACTTGGATTCCTCGAGGATCAGCTTTAAAGTGGTTCATGTTCTTAAATAGTAACCGACTTTAGGAACATACGTTGAGCTGTGGTCTTGTTTGTCTGCGAAGTTATGGATTTTTTTGTCTGAATGCAACATCTTTTAAGATTAAATACAACCTTGAGGCACACTAGTGCAATTCTGTTTTCTTATCTCTTTTTCTTTTTTAGGCTTTAGCCATTCAAAGTAAATGGTCCTTTGCATAATACTCGCTCAATACTGTATTATTGCTTCCCTTCTGTTCTGTAGCTATACAGCACTAGACAGCTGTGTCTTTAATATTTAGTCAGCGGGAGAGCCAGACGAGCTAAAGTCTCTTTTTTTTCCTGGAAATGAAGCAGCTTTAGTGCCAAAATGATGAATGAATAATTGTCATCACCGCTTATTTACTTCATCTCTTTTGTCACCGACTATAACAAGAGTGTTACACTATTAAAATAGCTCAAATAGCCTTGTGTTATCCTGCCCTACTTTTTTGTCATTATGAATATTCATTGTAAAAAAGTTCAGTGTGTATGTGCATGTGTCTGTGTGGCCAAAGTGTGGGAGTAACCCTACCAAGATTCGCTTGTTATAAACCAAAAGGCTTCTTCATGTTGTCGCTGTGAGCTCAGCTCTCATCATCAGCTGTAAAGAAAACAACAAGTTCCCTAGACTTACAAAGTGAGTATGAGGGAGTTTGTTTGTCAACCCGCAATGAGACCCACTGTGTAAAGACCCAAGACTTGTGAAAAAGACGAATGTGGATCACATGGGATCACTCATAGGTCCTTTTGTGTGAAGAGACAAGAAGGAACAGCCAACACTTACAGAATAGGCGGAGGCCTGTCAATCAAACCAGATCTGAGAGAACTGATGGAACGTGTAATAATCATTTAGGAGCCATTATTCAGCAGCCTTTGGTGATTTGCATTTTAAGCATTGTCTTCAGAGTATGTAGAGTATAATAGTCACTTAGTTTAAGGACATGAAGTAAAGAAACATGCTTTTTGGTTTTTTTTGAGCATTTTGAGCGTTTTGGGCCTTTATTGTAGAGATAGGACAGTGGATAGAGTCAGAAATCAGGGAGAGAGAGAACAGGGAAAGGAGCCACAGGTTGGACTCAAACATGGCCCACCCGCTTGGAGGACTACATCCTCCAAACATGGGGCATGCGCACTAACCAATGCGCCACCAGTACACTGAAACAAATGCTTTTATGTAAAATCTAAGGTTTGTGCTCTTTTATGGATACATTATTTCCATTATTTCTTAATGATGTAACATATACAAATACAATTATAATAATCTTTATACAAAACAACTGAAACGGAGTTAACAAAAAGATTAAAACAAAAAAAAATTAAATCAATACAGATACACATTTGAAGCAGGAGAAGAGAAAAGGGAGGTAAAAAATAAGAATGAGAATGATGTGAAATGATGCACAAGACACATCTAAACCCACCCGATGGTGTCGAAATCCCAACCCTGCCACTCAGGCTGATGCCTATTTGTGAGAGGAAATATGTGAAAAAGGTGCAGCTTTATTGGAAGCCTCTATATCAAAGTGCCCTGCCAGTGACAAACATGTCAAATCAAACCTTAAACTGGTGAGTAACACATCCATCGTGCTCAGATAATAACGATCCCGCTGTGTGCGCTTGGCACAGGATCTATGGAAACGTTCATCTCTTTCCTGTTTTTTAAAAAATCCCCTTTTCCTCTTTGCTCTTCAAGTAGCTTTACATTGGCACCGTATTGACATTCAGCACAGGGCTGGCAGAGTGGATCTGCAGTGTGAGGATTGATTTAATGTTCCTGTTCCATCTGATCACAGACTTTGTGAATAAGATGGATGGCCCTGACAGAAAAGATACATGGCAGTGCAATGATTCCCATGATTTGGACTCGCACACACAGACACAGACCCACACACTGAAATGGAAATGAATCCATAATTTACTGATTTTGTGTCTTTTTTGACTCAACAGATAAACCTGCAGAGGAGAATGAGGGTCACAGGACTAATTACCCAGGGTGCAAAGCGTATCGGCAGCCCGGAGTACGTGAAGTCTTACAAAGTAGCCTACAGTGATGATGGGAAGACCTGGAGAACATACAAAGTCAAGGGCAAAGATGAGGATATGGTGAGTCACACACATGGGCACACACATTGTCATCTCTCTACTCTTTCCCCCCTAATACATCCAAAGACACACACACACGGCCACACTCAAACACGTGCACACACAGCGACTAGAGACCGAGTCAAGGGCAGGGTGGAGGACATGATGAGATGGCTTTTTAATTAGCTTGCACACACCGGGCCCATCTTGCTGCCCCTTTACCCCCCTCCACTTTTATGACTTCTAGATTGAATTTTATACTATTTGGGGATGAACAGCCACCAAATAGGCCACACAGCGTTCTATCATTCTTGACAGCAAACCGCCGCTGTCCTCCGTTTGGCAGGGCTACGAATGACCCCAACCTCCAATCGTGTCCTCAAATTTATAACGTGGAACAATGAGTCAGGACTTATCAGTCTGGTGTGCTGTCCCACTTGTATTTTTATTTCTTTCATCAGAGGTTGCAACTGTGAGAAAAGCTGGGGAAGTGTGTGTGAAGTAGCTACATGCCCTGATCCTTGTCTAATATAAGTTGGGGATTTTTTCCCACACTGACCTGTAGCCATCCTGTGTCAGCTTCCATTTTCTGTTTCGCATGAAAACACACTGCTCTATATAGCCTTGCTTTCTCTGTCTCCGTCGCTCTCACACACATGCAGTAAATCAGTCACTCACACCAGAAGGTCTCTGTCAGACTATCTCAGGTCATTTGGATAAACCACTCCAGAAGGTATATTGGTGTAATTGGAGCACTAATTTAAAACACACCACTGTTCTTATAAATTATGGCCTCAAATGGTGCGAGAAATTATCTATTTTTCCCTGTAATTCTAGCTCATTGACCTTGAATGACAGCAATTTGTTGAGTGTGTAGTAGACACTAGAGACAGCGGCAGATAGACTGCTACATTACAGCATAACTGATGTTTCACCATCCTCTCCGCCCCCCATCTGCTGTTATTTCATCCCCTGCAACAGATTTTCAGAGGAAACGTCGATAACAGCGCTCCATCAGCCAACTCCTTCACCCCTCCTATTGAAGCGCAGTACGTGCGCATTTACCCACAAGTCTGCAGGAGGCACTGTACCCTACGCATGGAGCTGCTTGGATGCGAGCTAACAGGTGAGTGAGCAGAGACTTTTCTGACTGTGAACATAAAACATAAAAATACTTTGGTATGCCTCCTGTGTAGTTATTTATTTCTGCATTTGTTAATGTGACAACAGCGCTGAAAAATGGACTTGTTTTATGCCTCCCTGCAGTCAGAACCGAGCTCTTGAACACAATATCTTTTGCATTGCCTTGTGGGCATTCATAAAAATTTCACACAAACGCCCAGCGTATCACTGTGACCTCATATCATTCACATTTTTGAGATTACAATAACTCTGCCAGTTCTCTGTACAACCACAGCGGCCCTGAAGGTGAATCACAAAAAACATTTGGGAAAACTACAAGAGCATGTAACGGAAGACGTCAAAATAAAAAGAAACACGACAATATATTTTTTTTTAAACCACAAGGATATGTCACATAATACACCAACATGTTGTTTTGTTTGTGAAATAATGTTGTGGTATTAATGAGATGTTGCTGTAGTTGGTGAAATGCTGTTGTATTTGAGAAATGTTGGGAAGTTGTCTAAAAGTTGTGTTTGACCTTCAGGGCTTCTTGTATTACTCTGTTAAACAGTCTTTAAATGAAGACCTCGTGTAGGATTTAGCTCTCTAGAATAAAATTAATCTCCAGTGAGATATATATCAGTATAGTGATATATCTTTCATTCCCCCAAAAAGACACCTTAATACCCTTTATTACATTTCTTCAAAGTCTTTACTGTTTATATTTTAACAAGGACATGGATGGTATCTGCGAGCGTATCTCTCAGCCTAACTAGATTGGCAGGGGGAGAACAACCACAGGGCGATAATTCAAGTATTTTGTGGGGGGGAAGAGGGAGTGTAAGGTCACAAAGGTTACCCAAAAATCTGTTATTTTTGTTGTTGCCAGGCTGCTCCGAACCACTTGGAATGAAGTCAGGCCATGTCCAGGACTACCAGGTCACAGCCTCCAGCATCTTCAGGACTCTCAACATGGACATGTTCACCTGGGAGCCTGGCAAGGCCCGTTTGGACAAACAGGGCAAGGTCAACGCCTGGACAGCTGGACACAGTGACCAGTCACAGTGGCTACAGGTAAGGATGCTATCAGAGCTGGATCTCTTATCTGTTGTCGCTACTGTAGAGATTAAATCATTTTATTAGCAGGAAAATGAACAACAGACCGTCAGGTTCTTGCAGATAGCTGCTTTTCGCTCTGCTGAAGGATAAGCTCTCACCTCCCTGGCATAGTAATTGATGGTGTGTTCGGTAATGCATGCCAATGGATTCAATTATATTTCACAGGGTAAGGCTTCATTGATGTTTACACTGTAAGTTGTAAAGGAAATTAGATCTTGACATACTACCTCTATTAGCTAGCTCTCTATTCACCGAAAGCGTCAGTATTAGTCAGTCACTTCTTTTCTACTTTAACGCCCACACTGCCTTTTTTTTGAAAGAGTGTATCTGTTATATGTGGCTGCAGTTCAGCATTTCTATTTCAAAACAGCTAATCTATTTGTTTAAAACAAAGTATAGCTGAAAATGTCTACTACAAGGAACAAGGCATGTCTCTAAGTGAACACCCCGTCGAACAATAAATGAGATTGAGTAAGGCCCAAGGAGTTTAAAATACATATCAATCAGGCTCAATCATGCCCAGTATGCCCTCACATATGGCCGCCTGTAATAGATTCTTTTTTTTTGTTCTTTAAAGATAAAAGCTTTTAGATGCGTTTTGCTTTTATAGCGAGAAACCACGTCTCACCTCAAGCTATAAAACTGATAACGTTGAAGAAATTGTGTTTGGGAACATCTTCTCAGGGAATTGAACATCAGAGGGATTTCTTTGATTTCTTGGCCTTTCTGCTGCACTCGCTCCACACACACCACCTCCTGAGTGGTGACACAGTTAGCGCTCTGTAGTCACACTGTGTGGTCGTTATTAGATTAGTCAGGTTTGGAGTCAGATATGTTTTTTATTAGGCTGAAAGCTTTCTGCAGAACGTGAGGGTATATGCAGGGCTGTGTGTCGGAGGAGACAGGGTACTTAGGCTGGCCCTGTCCAGTGCCGGGGAGCTCGGCTTTAGCAAAATTGATTGCAGTGGGTAAAGGAATACTTGTGGTCTCATATTACATGCAGTGCTGGCAGGAAAGGGGAGATGCTGTATGGCCGGAGTAAGAAAATCAATGGCTTCCACTGCCAAGGAGCATTTCTGTGCACACAGGAATATATACTATATCTGCCTCTTGAGATGTAGACAGTAAGAGTTATATACTGTGGAGTGCTGTTTCACATTTATACTGATATTGCTGTATGTACTGACCTATCTTTAGATATTATATTGTGTGCATTTTTTTTGAACTCCCACAGTCAGTGTCTTCCTTTATAAGTAACCATGGCAAATAATTGATTCTCAGTGACATCACTGAATGACTTTAAAGCTTAAAGATTAATAGAATTAATCAGCCTTAATGACAAATTAAGTATTCCTATTAATCATGACGACTGCTCTGGTGTGCAGTGGGAGCAGTGGAAAGTCTGCACAGACACTAAATGTCAGACTGGATTTCTTGATGCATTACATTAAACAACATATCATTTTTTTCTAATGCCACACTGCATTCTTGTGTTTGATGTAGTAGCAGTATGTGTATTATTTGGTGTTCTTTGTAGTTCTCTAAGAAATTGTGTTTTATTAAAGTAAAAAAAAACAAACGAGGCTACGCCTGCAAGCTAGTTCAGGCAGTCAACTCGAGCCAAACTGATTTCACACTTGACATGCGTCATTATCCACAAACACCTGACAACACCTTCTTCCAATTAGCAGCCTATTTAAGCTGCAAGATTTCCCCTCTCTTCCTCTGCTCTTTCATTCCCAGCTCTGAAATGCACCAGTACTGCACTCTCGCTCAGCCCTACCACAACCCCAACAGCCACCTGTAGGCTCCGAGAGGGGAGTTTAAGATATCATCCCATCACTCCTCAAATTTCTGCATGTAAATTAAAACTGTGAGGAGTGATTAGGTTGGAACCTAGACAGCAAACACAAACTATTTTCCGCTGCAATAAATATTGGAAACAAATACTTATTTGAGTTTTTCACTGAAATAATCGATTCCCCTTTTTAATTAGTTTGCAAAAAATGGACTGATAAGTTTAAGTGTCACCTGCATATAAGCTTCAACAAAAATGTGTTAGGAGCCTGGGGCTAAGCCGAAGTTATTCTGACCAGGCTGAAGATAAAATTGCACAGCAAGACAAACCAGACAGTTTCAAGATGTTTCCAAGAGAGAGCTGAAGCTGTCAGACTGCCCTGCCAAGTGTTCCAGCTGGCAGTAGCTGATTATTTGTTTATGCAAATTAACATGTCCACGTAGCAAAGAGAAATTGTCAGAGAGACCTTATCTACTTTTTACTTTCACGGAGTGTGTTTCAATGCAACACAGGGTTTTCAAATGTTATGGCAAGTACTGTTCCAGGAGTGTAAAGAGTTTTGTGGTGGATTATGGCAGACACTGCCCAGACAAAGAAATGAACAAGGTTGTTGTGGAGGTTTTTGTGTATGTTTTGCAGTCAACAAGCTACTTAGCAAGGACTCACTTTCCTGAGTCAGGATGTTGAGATGTGGAACACATGTCATTGTGGATAGCACCAAACAGAAGGTGGTAATAAGTAAAAAGTTGAGAGCAAAGTGTTACATTTAAAAACACCTGGATTCATCACATAATAGTATGTTTTTTTCACCCTTTCTCTTTGCTCTGCTTTGATGTTCACATTCGTACCACTGATGAGCCAGGATGATACACTGATACATCATTCAACACTTTGTAAAGTCACAGTGATCTGAGCTTATTTGGCAAAGTTTTGATTTAATGAATGATATCCAGCAGCATGTTTCACTATGGGCATTAGACAATGTTCACTATTGAGAGAAGTATTGTGCAGGGAATGAAAGCCTCTTGACCCTGTAACAGTATCAATGTGAGGACAGAAAACAACATTTGAATATTTTTATCATTCTTTCATTATTTGAAGTCTATTCCTCTACAAATGCACTTCTCACCTCAAAGATTGTTGTTAATATGAAGTGAACATTTCTCCATTAATAAGATGTAAAATAGGACTTTCTGTCTTCCCTGAGTCAATCAATATTGTCAGACTAGTAGTCCTTTGACATGTAAAGATATTTGAATGAACTAAACATCGGCATGTTGACAATGTTTTCAAAAGTATTTTTACACCCCCGCCCCCTTAACATTTTACACATACCCTGGCAAAGCAGATGAAACAATTCTACAATTCTACAAGAGATAGTCTTCGACTTTACTGTTTCCTTTGTCCATCTTTAAAACTTTGCAGACTCACTTCCTGTTGTGTATTTAGTTTAGAGAATTTCACACAGCATCCTAACAAGCAAATAAAGCGCTGCACACAACCATATGCATACTGTTCTCCTAAGAAATAGCCTGTTATAGTGGCACTAGGGGTTCACCAAAGAGACAGTCAAAAGGTTTTTACATTTTCAGATATATACCACAAAAGTGTAGCCCACGCCTGTGTTTCACATTATTCCCTTGTTAACTTGTCCCTTCTTGGGAAAGTAGAATACTTTAATTGTTTTATTTTTTTTTTAAATATTTCTCTAGAAGTTCACTGCTCTATATCTTCAGTATGACTGTAGGAACTGCGTTAAATATTTAGCAACAACCAGAAGAGTGGCAAGAAACTGTATCAACAACAAAAACACAGACAAAGGAAAGTAATATGTCCAATTAAAAAAATCCAAATTCTGTAAATTGTATTCAGTATAACCCTTATGATAAATAGCTGTATAGTACATAAGGGTGAAGTATGGCTCTGTTTTTAATCTAATATTTTATCCACACATACCTTGTAAAGGCGTTCATAGTGCAAAATGTATCACTTCATTTGCACCTTTTCCATTTTAATTGGGACTCAAAGGTTACAGACAAAGTTATTCCATACCGGGGCTTCATTTGTTTTCTCCGGTCTCCAAGGTTTCACACCCAATTATCTCCTTTAGGTGATAAATATGTGTGCTGTGCGTCTGTGGCACCCTGATAATCACCCCTCCTCTGATGATGCAGAGTGAACTCAGACTTGTGTGTAAACTTTGGGAAGACCATTTGGCCCGTATGCAGATGATACGCGGGTGCTAACATGAAATTGAGCATGGAGTCATTGTGACATACTTGTGAACACCTTCGCTAATGTGGTAATGTAGTGCAAGCTGTAACATGACATATTTTTTTTGCCGACAAGACGTTAGCGTACCTGACCAAATAGTCAAAAAATTAAAAAGAACGACATTTTGTTCCTGTAAATATCATTTTCAATATCAATATCAATATCATTTTAGAATTTTCATAACCAATCTCCTGCTAAAGTGGCAGCTGTGGCTCAGTGGCAGAGTCTGTCGTCCCTCGACCAGACGGTTGAGAGATGCCACATGTCTAATGTTTCGTTGGGCAAGACACTTAACCCCAAATTGCTCCTGCTGCTTTATCAGCATTGGCTTATTCTGACAACAATTTTATATAGCAGCCTCTGCCATCAGTGTGTGAATGGGTGTAAATGAGTTGGTGTGACCTGTGCTGTAAAAGCACTTTGTAGTCACTTGGGTAGTCAGAAGACTAGAAAAGGCCATTTACCGTTTACCATTTTTATAAACTCCACAGTTTACATAGCATTATACAGATTTCCCAAAATATGGTTTCACTGTTTGGCTTTAATTGTGGATCAAAAGAAAAAAAACTCCCAGCTGCAGGCATTAAACTTTGTCAGTTTTTTCATTGAAATCAAAAGCAGTTAAAGCACAGGATCCAGGGAACTTCAGTAGATGTATACAAACATATGCAGAGCAGTGCGCACACAACAATTAAGAAAATGACTGCTGTGAGAGTGAAAGTTTACATAGGCAAATGCTGATGAGGTAAATTGAGGCAGCCTAGCAGTTAAAGCAATGCCTGCACATGGTAAAATGTTTATCTCTGCTGGAGCACAGGGAACTGGGGAGTCAGCACGGTGTGAGACTAAAAACCTTGACAGTGGTGTCATAGACAAGTGGAGA